GCGTCCCCCAAGAAATCGCCGGATATGGCCCAGTTGTTCTTCAAGAGAATATTTCTTGAATATAGGATCTATATATATATATATATATATATATATATATATAACATTCTTACCTCCTATAACTGAAATATCGATCAAACGCTACCACGAGATCAGTTCTGCCTGGGTTTGCAGTCAATAGATTGACCAAAACGTGCATTCAATGACAGCATGAAATAAATCGCCGGCTCCTTATTTTACAACGGTCGAGTAGTCTCTTTTTAAACTGATAGAACTCAGAAACTTTGTCTGAATTTTTATCTAGGTTGTATAGAAATAGCAAGAATTCTGCGAATGTAGATTGAAGACCAAAATGGGTCAACGCCTTGCAATGACATGGCCAAGCCATGCTTGTATGTATATCTTCAACATTCAATCATAATTGATCAGTGGCACAAATTATGCGACGTAATTTTGAGCACGTGCGATAGTATATCTTAGAAAAAAGCTCGACTCCAGGCGCCACAGTCTCCTGAGGCCGAGCAGCGTCGGCCCCGTGACTAACACTAGGCCGCGTGAACGAAAATAGTGACACATATCTAAAAGAAGATTATTTTAACGTTTTCGGACATTAAATCGCTTGTTAAGAGATATTCTGGGAGTACATTTTACCCTTCCGGATTTTAGATTGATGACAAAAACGTATTGGCTGTTAATCCGACTCAGGACCCCTTGACAACACTGTTAGGCGCTGCTGGGCCCCGGACAATGCAGATCGCTGGTTCAGTCTTTGTCCCTGCTTGGGAAATGGGCCCTTATGTCCCTACCGCCAGGAAGCCGACTGTGCATTACTGGTGCTGTCTGACCGAAAGATAGGCCCTCATCAACTCAGTGGGCCCCTGATCAGCGCGCAGGGCTCTCTTGCTGGCATTGGGGTGTCTGGCCCCGCGGGCCGGGGCACCTGAATAAGACCTCCGGCTGGCTTGTTGGGCCCTTCAGGCCCTCAGATCGGGCCCTTAATCGTAAGTTCTGAGGGGCCCTTCAGAACCTAAGGGGAGGGACACGTGCCCACTGTGCCCCCCTCCTGCCCGTGCTACTGCACTGACGTGGCTGTGTTCGGATATGCGGTATCGTTAGCTGTAGGCGTAACATTCAGGTCCAAAGTTCAGTCAGAATTCAATAAGCATGTGTTGTTTGGCTTGCGAAGTCGTGGAGCGAATGAAACTCAACAATGCATCAAAAAGTCCCAGATACCCCGTTTTTGGAACATGCACGGAGAAACATCGTAGTTAAATGCAAATGTCCAGCGTGTCGGAGCTCCCATCATTTGTCTTACCATTATATCTCGATGGGCCTAAAAATATGCTCCATCAGGCTCGAGCCAGCATAAGAATATCATGTGACACGTGATTGGGCCGGAATAATTTCCAATACTTTGGTCGTTGTTGAATTTGTCACCGTCAATATGTGGCCGCGAGGGGAAAATGCAACAGTGATCTTGGCCTTGGAAAAGAGTTTACGTGCCCAGTGCGGTGTTGCATATGCTGAAATACAGTAGGACAGTAGGACAGTAGGACAGCAGGACAGTAGGACAGACAAACAACTGGACAGTAGTAATACCATACGTACAGGTAAAATAATTTGCCAGGACAAAGGTATGTGTTTGGATTGTTGCCCGAGACCGGAGGTGAAGTACAGAAATTCCGTAGCGCCCAAGGCCGTGGAACATAATTCCAGCTCAAATGTGGTATGTTTGTTAACAAATGCTGTTGAATGACAGAACAAGGAGATAAATTCGACTCAATTTTCCCGACCATATGTGGATTATGACATCAGAGAATAATACGAAGAGAAGAAAATAGATATTTTATTCAGTCTAGCTGTAACAAATACCACTATCTATGGCTGCCGTCGTTATCGACACCACATTTTCGGCAATGTAACATGCCACCACAAATGCCAGTTAGCATGAAACGCTACTCTAAGAAGTCGCAAAAAACCTACGAGTGCGTTACAACACAATCTCTACAAATTCCAGCTTCATTGTGGTCTGAGTGATGCTTTGCACGTGAATTGTTAACAAATTTCCATCCCTGGCCAAAGTATTCTCCCAGATCAAAAGGCACAGGGGTGAAATGTTACACCACATGCACAAGCCGATACAAAACGTATATCCGAATATTTTGCCAGATAAATTACACTGAAACTGTCGCCCAAGATGACCCAATCCATTTCCACAGACAGGTTTTGCTCCAGCCCGTTGCTAGTGGGGACCTCGGAGTGGTTGAGCCGCCCTGAGCGCTTCGGCAGTGTCGCCTCGAGCTAGACAGCTAGGCAGCTAGGCAGGCCTCTTGGATCAGTCGCCAGCTGGCTGGTCATGCCAGCTAGGCAGACCCCTTGGACCAGTCGCCAGCTGCCTGGTCATGCTAACTGGGCCAAACAGGACGCCTATTCTAGAACCGGCACGCACTGTTGCTGGATTACAAGCCTCCGAATCACGGAGCTGGGTATGCTCGCGGAATCCTACTACCCTCTGGCAATGTGTTAAGCTGGACGCGTTCAAAAGATCAAGGATGGAGGCGTCCTTCTTGATCACGCATGCCAGCAAAAAGCGTCGGCTGCAGGCCAGTTCCTTAGCCGACGCGTGCTGACTGCGCTGAGCCTGAGCGAATCAACGATGATTTGTATCGATGCGGCAGCTAATGTTTGCGTAGCGGACATCGGAAATCGAACAAGCAATGCTGTTTGCTCCCAGTCTGGGCTGTCCAACAGCCGCCCTTTTACTTTGGAAACGCCAACAGATCAGGCTGTTTGCCTTTGCAGACGTGAGTGTATTGCTTTGTCACCTGTGTGACTGATAAATGTCACATAATTCGGCCATTACTTGCACTTAGTGTGCCTCATAGACGAGAACAAACATCATCGAATCATGGACTACACAAGAACGGAGAGTTTAACCTAAAGTACAAAAGCGTGAAAAGCACCTCACGAAAAAAGAGATGCCTCTGTCTCAGTCTGGCCACTGTTGCCAGGTGACGCCATTCTCGAGCCCTGCCGTCGCATCCCAGCCTGTTCCTCAGTCTGGCCACTGTTGCCAGGTGACGCCTCTCTCGAGCCCTGCCGTCGCATCCCAGCCTGTTCCTCAGTCTGGCCACTGTTGCCAGGTGACGCCTCTCTCGAGCCCTGCCGTCGTCTCCCAGCCTGTTCCTCAGTCTGACCACTGTTGCCAGGTGACGCCTCTCTCGAGCCCTGCCGTCGTCTCCCAGCCTGTTCCTCAGTCTGACCACTGTTGCCAGGTGACGCCTCTCTCGAGCCCTGCCGTCGTCTCCCAGCCTGTTCCTAGTCAGCAGGACGGCACGCGAGCCTCGCCGCTCGTCTGATGAGGACTGATGAGCGGCTGGCGTGTCGGTCTCCCGCGCGGAGATCACGAGGCCGACCCGTGCCCCAGCCCTGCCAGTCTGCCTCAGTTCGCACCAGTGTGCGTCAGCCTGGCCCAGTCTGACCCGGTCTGCCTCAGTCTGCCCTGTCTGGCTTGGTCTGCCGCAGTCTGCTTCAGTTTGGCCCAAACTGTCCCAGTTTGTCCCAGTCTGGCCCGGTCTGTATCATTCTACCCCATTCTGCCCATTCTGCCCCATTCTGCCTCAGTCTGTCAGCCTCATTCTGGCCCAGTCTGCCCCAGTCTACCCCAGTCTGCCCCAGTCCAGCTCGTGACGCGCCGGTGCCTCGGTGCCTAGCACGGCCCGCCGGCTGTGCCGAGGGCCCGAGTGAAGGAGGTGTGCCGGTACGCCGCCGATGGTCGGCTGCCCACCGGCTGGTCGATACAAGCCCGGCTGCCTGGCATTAACAATGTATGGCCGTGAGCGCCAGCGTGGCCGTGAATCTCGGCTGAGGCACACGGCGCCGTCCGTCCGCCTGCTTAAGGCCAACTGCAGCTGAGTTGCTACTGGAAATGAACTCGGGTGCGGATTTGAGTCCAACCGCACTTGAAGTTAGCTGCAGTTTAAATTCAGCTGCAGTTGAGATTGGGCTGCCGTTCAGATAAAGCTGCGGATGACTTCCAGTTGCAGTTTAACTATTGCTGACTGGAACTTGAGGTGCGTTTAAATACAAGCTGGTGTTGTTGAACAGTGGTCGCAGTTGAACTTCAGCTGTAGCAGAACAGCGGCTGCAGCTGCACTCAAGTCGCATGCCTTTGTCGTTGCTGGAGGGCAGGCTGACTGGTCTGATGACGCTCCGTGATGGTATCCCTGAGAGTGCAACACTGGAGGGGAGCGCTGACCCAGTTTTTGTTGGCCAGCGCAAAGACTGCTGACAGACTACAGAAAAGAGCACAAGGACAGGCCTCAGAGGGCTTGCAATGGAAAGGCCGGCACCAACTCCAAGCGTGTATATGTGCTGTTGTCACAATTCGCGAGTGCAGCACTTGTCAGATTATATTTACATGGCTTTAACCCTGCCCTGAGAGCGCTCCGTGTTAAACAAATTCCGGACAAGCAAGATGTACAAACTCCTTTCAAATGAGACAACCTGCCCCGCCCTGGAGTAAATTGCATTACAGTGTGGAGGAAGTTGTGTGCAGGTTTTTCAGAGAGCAGGCTGCATCGCAAACCACCGAAGCCTGTCTGATCCGACACGGTTGCAAATGACATGGAACGGTTTCTACGCAATCAACACGTGTCGATAGATAACAGATTCAGAATTAATACTTCGTGAAGACAGTTCAAGATGAAAAATGACTGAGTGTATTCCATGGATACAAAGCGGGGTGGTAAACAAAACTGTGGCACCTAACGGTGTTTTCCAGTGCACGAGGATAACATAGCAGATTAAATTGCTTTGCTGCCAGAATAGCAGACGTTTGCCAAACTTCGGGCCTTGGCGCAGGCAGGGCGCCTGCTGGAGTGGTAAACGGAGAGGCTGAGTGGGTAGCATATCAACTTGTCGGCTACATTGCTGTTATGCTCGCTAAGTGCCAAGCCATCAAACTTCAACGGCCTTCACAATGCCGCTTCGAACCCCCCACCCCCAGAAAAAAAACCAAGATGGTGGCTAAATTCACCCTGTCCCTACCAAAAAATGACTTAATGATCATGCTGAGTTGTGTTTACTTAGTAGTGAGTTAGCAAGTATAGAAAATGGTAAGGGATTTAGTTGAGGAACTTAGTAAGGAAGAAGTCACTTCTCCTTCCTTCAGGAATCTTAAGCCAGATGCTGATGAGGTATAGAAAAACAATGACCATGTGCGACGTTTCCTGGTGTTTTGTGATTGTTGCTTCTTCTTCGCTCTCATGACCACAGCGGGTACCCAGACACTAAAACCAACCAGTCTGTACGCGGACTTCTCGGGAAGGGAGGGGGTGGGGGGCATCCAAGGTACCGATCCTCATCCGATCTTCTGCTGGCAGGCTCCTGCGCTGTAGACTGGCCACGGGATACGTCCAGTCTTCAACATGACCAACAACAAGAGCAAGCCGGATGGTATGAAGAAGTCCAACACGCTGCCGCCGCTTGACATTGGAAACAAGGTAATGAGCAACGAATAACTGAGGCTCGGGATTGTGTGTGTGTGGCGTGCGAATGCTGTCCTAAAGAATGGCCGTGATGAAAGCATAGCACACACCTCACAGTATCACAACGGAAAATACAAATTGGAGAAAATACAAATTGGATCCCTGGCCTCTACTTTTCCAAAGGCCTCCAAAGACCTCCAAAGACCTACTTCACCCATGACCTCCACCTTCCGGGGACTTGACGCTCACTTTGCACTCACACTCGCTCCATGCAATATCGCAAGTGTTGTGCAGTATTTCATTGTTACCAAGTGAGTGGTACAGGTCTCCCACCGTCTCTTGATCTCACCTGGGTGGTGAAGCACGCAACGCACGCCAGAGAGATGTGCTGAGCAGAACGAACATTCTAACACAAACCGTATGAAGTATATAATTAAAATGTGATGTCACAAAATTGTACGCGCTGGCGTCATGTTGAAATGTTCGCTTATTTTACATTTTCTCCATTATTTGCGCAATTTGTGTGCTGCCGTATGAATAGATGCAATAGCCTTCTCTCAGTCTCAACTACACAATCGGCTATCGAAAATCATGCTTCTGCTTAGTCGTCCACCGCCGTTGTATGAGCATGATTTTGTGTGACGCAGACAACGTGACATCTGACCCCACTCCGCCAGAGCCCGGGCAGCGTGCGTCGCTCTCCACCCCAGACCGCCGAGGGTCGGCGACGCACGCGATCCGTGGAGCCGGATTCGGCGCTGCCGCTGCTCGAGGCCGGTCGGTGGCGCGCCCTGGAGCACGCCACCAGCGTCGAGAGCGTCGCCACGGGCCGCTCACTGGGCACGGCAACGCCCTCCTCGCCGCGCCTCTCGCCACGCGAGGAGGCGCCGCGCCGCACCGGCAGCTTCCGGCTGGCCGATGGCCTGCAGCACCGGCAGCCGCGAATCAAGGACGAGCCGCTGGCAGAGCCGCGCGGCGGCAAACCGCTGAACCTGCAGCCGCTGGACACGCGGCGGGGCAAGTAGACGCCAGCGCCGTCTGACGGATGGAGGAAGAAGCGTGCGTTCGGTATTGGGCCGACAGACGACGGTGACCTCGTGGCGAAGCGGTGGGAGAGTTGTGTTACCCATTAAGCATCTTGAGGTCTTGCGGATTTCTAACTTGACGACTATACTTTGATGGTAGACATGCTGTTTAATGCAAACATTCAGTTCGAGCCATGCCAGGTGTTTATTGGCGAATTTTACACCCTGACTTCCCTTGATCTATAAACAAATATAACCACCTGCCTGTCTTCGATGACCAGTTTTTTTCTCCATTTGTCCTTCTCTACCCCATTCCCACAAAGTTCCATCTCTCCGGGGCAAGCAGCTGCTTACATCAGTCATAAACGTGTTTTAGCGCCCTCTGGTGACCGCATCGTTCGAGCAGGCGCATGCACCCCAAAGATGTTCTCTGTGCGTGGTCTCGGCAGCGGAGAGCACTCACGTGGCGGCAGGCTGCTCCACAGCTCGCTGTCTTTCGTCCCATAGCTCCAAGATAGTCAATGCTGGCCGAGATGCTCTAATCCCAACCAAACCCACCCAGTTTTCGTCCTTCAGTGCTCTAGATGTGATATGTCACCACTTCTTGTCCAGGTGGTGGCATTTGCCCCCTTTTCTTCTCCTCTGTATCCCCTTATGGCGGCCTGTTGGCGTTGCCATCTTTTGGCATGAGGAGCGTCATCGTGTAAATCCGATTGTTTCTCATATAAGCCTGTGTGAATGTCCCACACTGCAGAGTTGGACGGCGTGATTGCTGGCCCTCTCCAGCTAACGGCGCGTTTTACGTGGGACGTTGGTGCGACGTGATGATGGAACGAATGCGCTGTGGATTTATCTTCCAAAACGTGGCTGCAGATCATTGGGAGAAAAATTACGTGCATGTCATTTTAATGGTATTTGTGCAATTTTACTCGCTACATGGTTTCTCCACTTTACGATTTAAGCAATAAACATTCATTGATCTCAACGCCTAAGCGTTTGTACATTATCACCATTCACAGTTTGCGTGCATTGGCAGCGTCAGAAACAGGGAAGTCACTCAGCCTTCGGCCACCGCGAGCTGGCAACGGAGTCCTCTGCCCCCGACCAGCTACCTCTGCCCCCGACCAGCTACCTCGCCCACGACCAGCTGCCTCTGGCCCCGACCAGCTGCCTTGCCCCAGACCAGCCGCCCCGCCCACGACCAGCTGCCCCTGTCCCCGACCAGCTGCCCCAACCCCGACCAGCTGCCTTGCCTGCGAGCTGCCTCCAGCCGTGCGAGGTGGGACTGTCATGCCCCTTTCCAGGGATGTCGACGCCGCTGGACTGTCGAGCCCCTTTACAGGGGTGTCGACGCCGCTGACGCGCAGTTACTTCACATCGACACCGTTTCTCGGCACTGTTCAGCTTAGTGGCAGTTTCTTGCCATTAAAAACATTCAAGGACTAAAAGAACGCATTGAAGACAGTTTGTTTGCCTCTCTCAAGTGGTTCACTCAAAACAGGCTGAAGACAAAACCATCGAGGACTAAACTGATTGTTCTTAATTCACAGCGCCAGAAAACAAATTAAAACTAATCTTTGCTTTGCAGGAACTCTGAAATACCCCCAGTTCAGAAGGTTACTATATTGGGTGTCTCCGTCGATGCATCCGTGACATGGAACAAATACACATCGAGCGTCATGCGACGATGGTACGGTATTTTAACGACACTAGCCAGAATACACCGCCGCACGCCGCGCGAAACCAGGCATCTACTGGCGGCGGTGCTCCAGCTCCTGCCCCATATCAAATGTTGCGTATCTGTTTAGGGAGGCTGCAGAATAACACGGCTAAGGCGGCGGTGGACTGCAAAAACTTGGACCTCATCCAAGCCTGCAAGGTCATGGACCTGTGATACCGCGATAGAGTGGTCGGGTCTCTGACCTAACTCACACGGTCTCAGCTGGAAGATCTGCTTGTAGAGCGTGACGAACAAACCTTGCACAAATTAGTGCACACCAGCGGCGCCCCCCGAGCTGTTCTGTTAACTTGGCACTAGCCGCTCCAATGCATCCCGCCGTTGCACAAGGCCGACGTCGAGCCGCCAGCTCCGTATCCCACGCATGTGACAGAGTTTGATCTGCACTTTTTCAGCCGCTCAATACGAGCGCCCGGACAGGCTGTGTAGGCATCTGGTTTCACCGGTTTTAAAACTGGACTAGCTGAAAACCGACCATTTCCATGCCATGACAACAGCGTGCTTTAGCAGGCTTTTTGTGTAAGTGTATGCTCCAATTGTACGAGTCACGTATTTTTATGTACGCCACTGACGTTAAGTACAGCAAGGTCATGCCATGAACTCTTCAAAACGATATGTTTGCTTGTTTGATCACTTGTCTCAGTTGTTTATTTGTACATTTCCGTCCACCAGCTGTTTACCTACACTCAGGTATAATTTGATGCCCCTCCACCCCTCCACTTGACACCACCGCACGTAGGCACCGCTCAGCATCAGCTCCCACCGCAGTTGATGTGTTTGGTGCCCCTCCCTCCCCCACTTGACACCGCCGCACGTAGGCACCGCTCAGCATCAGCCCCCACCGCAGTTCACGTGGACGTTTTCTCCATCCTCGTGCGCAGAAACACAGCATGAAAAGTGCTGTGATGTCTGTGCTGATTGCCCAGTTGGTTAGAGCGTCTGCCTTCCGATTGAGCAGCCGCTGGTGGGGCGGGTCCGAGTCGGCTCAGATGCCCGGTGTTTGCCCGTGACCAACAGGTCTGCCGGGGCAGCACTCGCGCCGAAGGTCAGGTCTGCCGGGGCAGCACTCGCGCTGAAGGTCAGGCCTGCCAGGTAGCACTCGCGCTGAAGGTCAGGCCTGCCGGGGCAGCACTCGCGCTGAAGGTCAGGCCTGCCGGGGCAGCACTCGCGCTGGAGGTCAGGCCTGCCGGGGCAGCACTCGCGCTGAAGGTCAGGCCTTCCGGGGCAGCACTCGCGCTGAAGGTCAGGCCTGCCGGGGCAGCACTCGCGCTGAAGGTCAGGCCTGCCGGGGCAGCACTCGCGCTGAAGGTCAGGCCTGCCGGGGCAGCACTCGCGCTGAAGGTCAGGTGACGCTAGAGGCCAGGGCTGACCGTGCCAAGTATTGCGGTACTTGAGGTTTCACAGGAAAGTTCCTGTGAAGAAAGAAAGAAAAATGTTGACCCGGTGTGTCACGATCGGATGGTGGGGTCAGGGCTCACGCAGAGGACACTGCTTAGCGGGGTCGCTGATCCCATAAGCGCATCCAATTAAACTGTTCAAACTTAGGCTTCAAGTGAAAACTTTCCTTCGTGCAATGTTTCATAAAAGCCATAGTCCATTCCCTAGCTGGGACGTCACATCTCTGAATATTCGACAGTGCTGCCACCAAGTCGGCGGACAACAGAGCCAAGATTGCAACATCCGCGACGATAGCCAACCGACATGGGAGACCCCTCCAGGAACCACCGTCCGCAGTCAGTCCTCTGTCGTCCTGTTCGTCGGGCGCGTGTCAGTCGTCCCGCTCCTGGCTCAGTCCGCGCCTCTGCCATGCAGGGGCACAGCCAAGGAAAGAGCTGCCTCTCCTCCTTCGTCCCACATTCTTTGACAGAAAGTTAAGTTTAGGTTTTAAGCTTATATTTAAGTTTCATGTCTTAGTTATGGTTATAAGTTTCAGTTTCAGTTTCAGTTTCAATTTAAGGTTAAGCTTAGTTTGAAGTTGAAGTTTTAGTATTAAAAATTGAGTTTAATCTCGAGATTTTGGTTTCAGTTAAGCTGAGTTTAATTCCAGTATTAAATCTAAAAATACGCGTGCTGCATTCTTGCCGAGCTTCCGCGCTGCCTTTGGGACTGGCTGCGCCCCTGGTGCCAGGCCAGTTGGGACTGACTGCGCCTCTGGTGCCAGGCCAGTTGGGACTGACTGCGCGCCTGGTGCCAGGCCAGTTGGGATTGACTGCGCCCCTGGTGCCAGGCCAGTTGGGACTGGCTGCGCCCCTGGTGCCAGGCCAGTTGGGACTGGCTGCGCCCCTGGTGCCAGGCCAGTTCCGGCCACTGACGTGCCGGTCGGAAGCGAGGCGGTCACGTGGCCGATAATGTCGGGGTCTGCGGACGTGACGTCCGGCAGAGGGGGCGGAGGATGACACCGCGTCACCCGCCTGAGGCCAGCGACGTGCGGGAGGCCTGGGGGGTGCGGCGGAGCCATCACGGGGCCGCCGCGTGCTGGTGCAGAGCCACCAGTGTCAACGTTGACTGGGAGAGCCGGCGACAGCGGGCAGTGTGAGCGTCAGCGTCAGTGTCACGTTGGAGTGTTAGTGTCAGACGGGTGCCAGTGTCACCTAGTAATGTCAATGCCATCCGGCAGTGCCATTGCCGGAGCTGAAAGGGCCAGCTGGCGTTCCATCCGAAAGATCCAGTCTCGACTGTGAGTGCCGGGGTCAGCTGGGAAGACTAGTGTCAGCTGGGAGTGTAAGTGTCAGCTTGGAATGCCAGTGTCAGAGTTGAGAGTTTGGATGCCCGATGCGGCTCTATCTGAGACTTCCAGCGTCACCTGCAAACCTTGCTGCTAACTGTGTCAGTGTCAGGTGCAAGGGTCATTGTCAGTGTTGAGGACAAGGTCTCAGTAGCAGCGGCAGTTGCCAGAGAGGTGACGGTAAAATCACCGAAGACCAAGTCAGCACGGGATCGGCCTGTGCCACCGCACTAGAATTTCGAGAAAAAAAAAACAGGTAGGCGGCTGCATCAACTGTATAAGCGAGTTCACCTAACCAGGGGCGTGGGAAATATTTCAAAGTGTATGTGGAGGGGGGGGGAGGGGGACAAAAACACTTGCGGAGCCCGCTCGTACCATTTTTCGCCCGGATTTTAACTACTCCATTTTTAAGTTGTAAAAAATGTGATTTGTGTTATTTAGGTGTGTCACATGGACGTTAACACGTGGTCTGGAAGAAGAGAAACATGAAACTACCACGGGATCTATTTCCCTTCCATTTGTAACATTCTCACATCAATTGGATGCTATTGTCTTTATATCCATATTGATGTCAAACTTAGCTATATATTTACGATGTTGGAGGAAGTGAATACAGTGTCATCCATGTCCTGCCACATATGCCCTCTTTTATGATCACGATACATGGCACAGGAAATAATGATGCTGGAAATTTCGCAAGACCCGAACTGCCTACATTCGATGTATATCAAAGGCGGTTTTAAGCTGGGAGTCAAAGAATGCTTAGTGCACTGCATAACGCATCTTGAGGTAATGCAGGCGGTTTTTCATTGTTGCAGCAGAGACCGACGTTCTGTTTTTTTTGACACTTTTGCTCACGGCCGGTGCATTGCTGATTACTACTGTGACCGCTTAGGTCCGTAGATATTGTGGAAGGTCTGTTATGGTGCCCGTCCTGAAGGCTCAGTTGGTTACGGCGCCTGGCTCTCGATTCACCCACCCGCGGTGGGGTGAGTTCGAGTCGCTTTAGACGCTCATTATTTGCAATTGACAGGTATGTCCTGCGGCCGGTAGCAGCAGCCGCGGTAAAGGTCAGGTGACGTCAAAGGGCAGGACGGACCGTACCGAGCAACAAGGTACGCTAAACCTTCGCTACCAAATTCTGCCGTGACCCGGAATTGCGCGATCGGATGGTAGGGATGAGGGCTCACACAAGCACTGCTTCGCGTGAGCTCTGATCACAGAAATCCATCCCTACAAAAAGGTTCGGATTAAGTCCATGTCATTGCATTACTACACTGCATCATTCCAGTGACTTGCGACTTCCACTCTTGCTGTTCATCCATTCAGGCAACCGATCAACTCACTGACTGTCCACGAATGGCCAGCAACTTAGAATCAAAGTCTTTTAAATTTAGACATTTTTTTCGCGTCGTCACACATAAAATCACGATAGGCTCGCGCTTTCATGACAACAGGTTAACAAACACTTTACCATAAAAGTATCATAATTCCACCCTGAGATCATACAATGACGTCACAGA